ACTTTATTTTTTAGAGAAGTTTTAGGTTTACAGGAAAAAATGCACAGAAAGTATACAGCGTTCTTCTACATCTCATCTTCCCCTCTACCCAGTTTCCCCTATTATTTAACATCTGACATCAGATGATGCATGCATTACAATTGATCAACCAATATTGATACATTATTACTAACTAAAGTCCATAGTTTACAATAGCTCTCATGCTTTGTGTTGTACAGTTCTATGTGTTTTGCCAAATGTATGTCACATATCCATGAGTATAGTAGCATATGGAAGAATTTCAGCACCCTGAAAATCCTCTGTGCTCCCCCTAATGAATAATTCTTCATGGTTTACAAAAGTTGTTCTCTTCACTGATCTCATATGATTCTCACAGGTAATCTGGTGAAACAGGCATGCCCGTCATTGTCATTCCAGTTGTACATATGAGATAACTGAGACTATTTTAAACACTACCCAAGTCTCTGTTAAGTGGCTGAGACAGGATGGGAACCCATGCCGGTCTGTCCTCAAATCCAATGTTCTTTCACCTACATCCTTCTGTAAGCAGATCAATTTGCTTTAGAAAAATGAAAATATGGGGGTATAAAATAGAGCCCTTAAAGTCAGCAGGACAAAGGCAATATAATTATACAAATGAAAAAGAACTGAGGAGATTTAATTAAGATTTATAATGTAGAATCCAGTGGTAAGAACAGAAAGTAGAAGTGGATTTATCCATTCAGTAAATAGTTACTATATCTATAATCTAGATTATATTGTGATAAAAAAAAAACCAGATTTCAGTGCATTAAAACAATAAATGTTTCAGTTTCTTTCTGGTTCATAGTACAAGTTGATCACAGGATATCAGAAAAGCTCTCTGCTCATCAAAAAATTACTGATGGATCCAGACTGAGCAAAAGCCAGCATCTTCTAGAACACTGACAGTCATTGTTCCAGAAAGAAGAGAAAGCTTTAGAGACTCTTGCATCAACAATTAAATACACTGAGATGGAAATGGCACACATCATTTTCACCTCCATCCATTATCCAGAACCAGTCATGTGTCCCACCCAGCCACGGGGCCAGAAGTTAGAAAGACACAAGATGGGTGAGCAGCCTTTATCATCACCAGGGATACTGAACATCTATGCTTGGCAATGGGAAAAGCACCACAATTGATTGTACTCAAGGAAGAAGGGTAGCCCATTGAGGAAGCTGATGGATGGATGTTGGCAAACAGATGAAAAAGTTTATCTAAGAAGATAAGAAATCATTTTACTAGCACTCTGGGAGGCCAAGGCGGGTGGATCATTTGAGCTCAGGAGTTTGAGACCAGCCTGAGCAAGAGCAAGACCCCATCTCTACTAAAAATAGAAAGAAAATTGGCTGGACAACTAAAAAATATATAGAAAAAATTAGCCGGGCATGGTGGTGCATGCCTGTAGACCCAGCTGCTTGGGAGGCTGAAGCAGAAGGATCGCTTGAGCCCAGGAGTTTGAGGTTGCTGTGAGCTAGGCTGAAGCCACGACACTCTAGCCCAGGCAACAGAGTGAGACACTGTCTCAAAAAAATAAAAAGAAAGAAATCATTTTATTAATTTCAAATAACAATACAAATTAGGCAAATCATTCAAAAGAAGATTGCTTCTCTTAGCTAAATGGCAGAACTTTACAAAAAGAATCCTAGTTCTTTACCTTCTAGCACGTAAGTAAGACATGCTGTCAGGGCCAGGTAAGGGGCTTATGCCTATAATCCTAGCACTTTGGGAGGCCAAGGGAGGGGGATCACTCAAGCAAGAACTCAAGCCAAGCCTGAGCAAGAGCAAAACCCTGTCTCTACAAACAATAGAAAAATTAGCCAGGCATGGTGGCATGCACCCATAGTCCCAGCTACTTGGGAGGCTGAGGCAGAAGAATCACTTGAGCCCAGGAGGATTTTTGAGGTTACAGTGAGCTACAGTGATGCCATGGCACTGTAGCCCAAAAGACAGAGCAAGACACTCAAAAAAAAAAAAAAAAAAAAGGAAAGTCTATCAGAAGAGAATTAAGGATTACAACCCAAAACAATAACTAAGTTGTAAATAGCAAGCCAGTCAACATTCATTTCAAAGATGCCCACCGGATGCAGCACATTATTCCAAAACCTAGCTCCAACCAGTCCACCCACACAAGACAGTTGTTCTTATGAATGTTGAGGGACCAGAATCCCTCTTATGCCCCAAGTAAAACTATTTGGTGCTCTTGGTAAATATTTTTATATTCTTGACTTGGAGTGGCAACAAGATGCACTCAGAAGATGATTAGATTTTGGTTCAGAACACTGGAATTTGCATCTTAACTTTGTCCAGGTTGTTTAGTATGTAAACTGATAATAATAATAACCTCAACTTACTATTTTGTTGTAATAAGGTAAAGTGTGAAAAAGCCTAACACTTAGTAGGCATTCAATAAATACTCTTTCTTTGAGTTAAAATAGCATCTCAAGTTTGAGAATATCTGCCACAGGCAAGATTCCAGATGTGCAAAGCATGTTTATTACCTCAGATTTCATTTTACAAGATTCATATCTGGACCTTGTATAGTAACTTCAGTAGAGAAGGTGTTAGATTTTTTTTTTCTCACCTAATTTCTTTTGCATATTGTACCTCTTTCAAAAGCCAAATTGCTAGTTAAAATTCAACCCTTTCTAGAGGCATGCCTCATATTATATGACAATTAGCTCCAGAATAAAGTTCAAACATATTTTAGCTAGTGATGAGTTTGAGAGATTTGTCAGTTAACTAAACAAGAACACCAGGAAACCTGACAGCCTGTTATTGGTGCACAGCCCATCCTTTGAGCCAGGTTAGGAACAAAAGCATTTGCCGTAAGGACCTAATTTATCACTGGAAAAGATAGCAAATATGTTATTAATGAAAGAATAAATCACTCTCAGGCAAGCAATGACTTCATTTTCTCTCAGGGGTGCTCAGCATAATATTTTTCCTGCAAACTATACCCATAAGGCAACTCGTGAGAGTCCTAGGGGAGAAGCCAGATGCAACTCTCCGCAGGCCTTAAGCACTATTCTGTGAGCAGAGCAGCAGTTGCCTAAAGTTCAGAGCCCTGTTTATTATCAGAGGGGTCCCTCCATCCTGGCAGGGCATGGCCTGGAGGACATCTCTCTTCTCCTGGCCCTTCAACATCTTCTAACTGTAACAAAAACTAGCCAAAATACAGATGACCACACACTGTACTGTACATGAGCTTCCTATGAAATATGTCCCCTCAGTGACTGAACCACAAACAGCACAGAGGGTGGGAGTGGGAGGATATGAAGGGAAAAGACTGGGGGCAGGGGAAGACAGCTGGGAGTTGGGACAGAGAGAACAGGCACCACAGGAAGACCCGCTAACAGGACATGCAAAGGACAATGGACACAGTGAAACTGCTCCCAGGGATCTGGTAGTGAGGGCAACGGTATGAGACTGCCAAGGGCAGTGGGAAGAACATGGGATAGGGCAGTGGGAAGAACATGGGATATGGCAGCAGAAGACCAACCACACATCCCAACTTGATTATGCCACTTTGGAAAAATTACTTAGCTTCTCTCAAGCCTCTGTTTCCTCATAGGTAAAACAGGGATATTGATCATCCATCACAGAGTTGGAATGAAGATCAAATGAGATGATATGTATTAAACTAAAAAGCCCTGTATAAATGTCAGCTGTTATGATTACTATGAGAATTTCACTTATTCTTTCATTAAACACTCACTGGGTGCTTTCTATATGCCAAGTCCTACACTAGGTTGGCAATACAAAGATGAATGGGTCAAAAATAACAAGATAAAAAGCCCTGCCATTTAGGAACTCCAAATCTAGAGGGCAGATAAGGAAAACGCTATGGAAATACTATAATACAGCGGTGAGCACATTTTTTTCTGTTAAGGACCAGATAGTACAGTGGCTCACACCTGTAATTAGCACACTGGGAGGCTGAGGCAGGAGGATCACTTGAGCTCAGGAGTTCAAGATGAGCCTGAGCAAGAACAAGACCCTGTCTGTACTAACAGTAGAAAAATAAGCTGGGCATTGTAGTACACCTGTAGTCCCAGCTACTCAGGAAGCTGAGGCAGGAGGATCGCTTGAGCCCAAAAGTTTGAGATTGCCGTGAGCTAGGCTGATGTACTGCACTCTACTCAGGGCAACAGAGTGAAACTCTGTCTCAAAGAAAAAAAAAAGGACCCAGATAGTAAATATTTTAGGCTCTGTCCCAACTACTCTGTGGGTATGGTCAAAGAGCAGCTACAGACAATATGTAAATGAATGAATGTGGCTGTATTCCAAAAGAATAAGGATGGGAGACAAGGTCAGAAGAGTAGACAGGTCTGGATCTTACAGAGCTTTGGAGGCCATGTTAAGGACTTGGATTTTATCCTAAGAGGGAGACTAAATAACTGTCCCTCTATGTACAGAAGCACTAACCAAAGGCCATTCCTAAGAAACTTAAGATGCTGAAGAGCTCATTAGAAAGTTTCTCATGCCCTTTGAATCTGTACAGTGGGCATTCTCAATGCACATTAGCATATTAAAGATTCTCAGGGTCCAGCACAGTGGCTCAGGCCTGTAATCCCAGTATTTTGGGAGGCAGAGGCAAGAGGATGGCTTAAGGACCAGGAGTTCAAGACCAGCCTGGGAAATGTAGTAAGACCCCATATTTACAAAAAAATTAAAAAATTAGCTGGACATGGTGGTACATGCCTGTATTCCCAGCACTCAGGAGGCTAAGGCAAGAGGATCACTTGTGCCCAGGAGTTCGGGGCTGTGGTGTACTATGATCACACCTGTGAATAGCAGCCTGGGAACAGAGTGAGACCCTGTCTCTAAAAAAAATTTTAATTTCAAAAATAAAAATTTTAAAAATTTTAAATGACTATCAGAGTTCTCTAAGAAAAGAAATCCATTTCGTTAAACTTTTCACATTTACTTGACTAAAAAACTTGTTGTTTATTTTTTCAAAGAACACCTGACACAAGCCCCTAGATGCAACATTCCATGATGGAAAACACTAGCTGATGGATCTAAAGCAACTGCCTTAGGAGCATAAAAGCATGTTCCCAGCCATCACCTGCCTCCCGACTCCTACTCCAGCCTCATCATCAGCTGCTCCTAAACACTCTAGACTATACCAACACCAAGCCACTGTGGCTCCCTAAATATACCATGCCATCTCATGCCTCCTTATATTTAACACTCCCTATTGGATATGCTTAAAATGTTCTTCTCTTCCTTGTTTACCTGCTGAACTCCTTGATCTTATAATAAAATCCAAATCAAGAAGTCCTCCCTTGTGAAATTCTGAACAACACCTCTCTCTGAATCCATCCTGCCTTATACAAGACACACACATACATGAATGCACATACACACAGAAGGCACTATTCCTTTCTCCACATCACTTTATATCTTGTGCTAAATTTTGTTACAGCCCATATCATATTATATTGTAAGTATATGTTTACCTGTTTGTGTCCTCTATAATAACACCACTCCAGTGTCTAGCCAGTAGTCGCCACTGCATAGAATTTTATCTGTGAGAAAAGGACACTATGAGTTCTACCCTTATTGAAGTCCTAGATAATCTCTCCCATTCTCCTGTGAGAATATAAAGGTTATTTAATTGGGGAAAATCCAAGGTAACATAAGAAGACATTTCTAGTCTTTGATCCTATGTTGAAAGACACAGACTTCAATAACTTAATGCGTGGCACATGTGTTTGCAACATTTTGGTGCACTGACCTGCCTTACCATCCTTACCATCATTTACCTACAAGAGAGATCATTGAAAGGGGTGTCAGGTGTTTCCCTGCCTCCCTAACACATGATACTAAGGTCATAATGAGTGAAAAGCAACAGGAAGTATGTCTCATGATTACCTAGGCCAGAGGTTCTCAAGCCTGAGCATGCATCAGAATCACCAGAGGGTGATCTGTTAATACACAGATTGCTGGGCCCCACGCTAGAGTGGCTGATTCAGTAGGTCTGGGATGGGGCCTGAGAATCTGCCTTTCTAACATTTTCCAGTGGCTGTGATGCTGCTGGTCCAAGGACCACACTTTGAGAATTACTGATCTGTGGTTCCCTGACTGCTTCACAATGCCAGAACTGCACTAGGAAGTAATTGAAGTAATTGTTTGAGCTACCTTCTTACTGCTCTTAGGGAGGTAGCAAAGACAACCAGCACTAAACTTGCATTCCAAAGACCAGTGCTACCATTCTGTCTTCCAGTGGTGTGACAACTGGCAACTCATGGAACCTCAGAACACTTTAGCTGCTTCCACCAAAAAGTGGCAATTGTTAGCCTATCACTATCTACCCTCATTGGTTTGCTATGTGAATACCATGTAAAACTGACTGACAAGTGTCTTTATATACTGGAAAGCACTAAAAGAATGAGAAATTTGCTGGAATGAAATCAAACACACATGTGAATGGTATAATAAAAATTTTAAGGTGTCTGGAAAAGTAGAGGGCAAATCAGAGGAAGAGTTCAGAGACAAATTTCTCCATATTAATCAAAAACTTTTTCAGACATTAACAAATAGCAATAGAATATGACTTTAGCTATTGAAGGGTTTTTCTGGGCAGAGATGGAGAAAATGCTTCCCTGCTATTTGAGAAAAAAATTTCATTGTTGTTTTAATAACATTATTTATCTGAAAAAGAAGATGCAGGCAGGGCATGGTAGCTCACACCTGTAATCCCAGCACTTTGAGAGAAAGGAGGATTGCCTGAGGCCAGGAATTTAAGACCAGCCTGAGCAATACAGCAAGACCTCATCTCTATAAAAAATTTTAAAAAAATAGTGCTGGTAGCCCCAGTTACTCAAAAGGCTGAGGCAGGAGGACTGCTTGAGTCCAGGAATCCAAAATTACAGTGAGCTATGATCAGGCCACTGCACTTTAGTCTGAGTAGCAGAGTGAGGTTCTATCTCTCAATAAAAAATGAAAGAAAAGAAAAAAAAAAGAAGAAGAAAAAGAAAAGAAGAGAAGAAGATGCAAAATATAAATTTTTCATCTATTCTAAGCTATCTTTATTTTACCTGATTTCACATAGATATTCCACATGCTCCTAAAAGCTGTTTTTGTTGATATCCCACACAACTTAATACATAAGAAATTAGTTTTGCATTTATTGAACCAATATTTGTCTAAAGAGAAAGGTCCTGGGTATCTAAAGCATAAGAAGAAAGGCTTTTTTACGCAATTTATAATCTAGCATTTATAGACATAAAGAAAAAATTGAGTACTTGTGATTTCCCCTTAGTTATCTTATATTGCATTTTTACTTTTTTTGTTTTGAGATAACTGTAGATTTACATGCAGTTGTAAGGAATAATACAGAGAGATCCCATGTACCCTTTATCCAATTTCCCCAATGGTAACATCTTGCAAAATTGTAGTAAATATCACAACCATAATATTGACCTTGGTACCATCCATTGATCTTATTCAGATTTCCAGTTTTGCTTGTACTCATTTGAGCATGTGTTGTGTGAGGGTGCATTTGGTTGTATGTACTTTTATCACATGTGTATTCACCACCACAGTCAAGACGCAGAACAAATTCACACAGATTCCTCATGTTGCTTCATAACCACATCAACTTATTCCCCCAACTCCTTTCTCTAGTCCCTGGCAACCATTATTCTGCTCTGAACCTCCATAATTTTATCATTTCAAGAATGGTATGTAAATAGAATCATGCAGTATGTAACCTTTTGGGATTTCACTGAGCATAATTCCCTTGAAATTCATCCAAGTTGTCAGATTCAACAGCTTGTTCCTTTTTATTTCTGAGTAGTATTTCATAGTATAGATGTACCATAGAATTTATTTGTTTAACAATCACTCATTGAACAGAAAAACATTTTTTAATAGGCATGAAGGTGAAAAAATTCAAGTGGTGTCCAGGAAACACATTACATTCTTTAACTATCCTGCCTTGCTCCAAAAATAATTTAAGGCAGAGATGAAGAATAGATCCATTTGGTTAGAGCAATGGGTTCATCTAGAGTCAGAGTCCACAAATTTGTTCTATAAAAGGCCAAACAGTAAATATTTTGGGCTTTGTGGGCTACACAGTCTCTTTCTCACAACTATTCAGTTCTACAGCACAAAAGCCACCATAAAAAATATATAAATAAATGGGTATCGTTGTGTTCCAATAAAACTTTATTAGGGTGCTGACCCCTGATTTAGAGGAATAATGGAAGAAAAAGTTGAAAGGGTAACTTAGATTGTGAAGAGCCTTGAATGTCAAGTAACTGAGTTTAGACTTTGGCAAACATTAAGAAGTACCTGGAGATATTTTGAGCAGGTATCTGGTGAAGAAAGGAATGTTTTAATCACAATTAAAGTGAAATATGTGGAAGATTAATCTGGAAGTAATAGATAAAATGAACTCATGGCATAAACAAGAAAAAAATGGAAAACGTAGATGACTTAAATGACTACCAGAATTGTCTAAGTTAAAAATAAAAATGGCCTGACCTGGGCTGCTATCATTGGATGTAAGGGGAAAGGGTGGAAATAAAATACATTTTAAAGGAAGAACTGATAGAATTTGGAAATTGACTGGATACCGTGGCAAGAGAGACAGAAAAAGCAAAATACCTCAGAGTTTTAGGCATAGGCTTTGGAATGAAGTTAACCTGACCTTGAATTCTGTTCTACCATTTAACTGAGCAAACTATGAAATTTCACCTTTGGTTTCCTCATCTGTAAAAAGAGTAAGAACATTACCCTCCTTACAGTGCAGTTGGACAGATTGAATGAAAGGATACAGGTAAAGCCCTTAGCACAATAACTGGCATATATAGCAACTGTTCATTACACAGTAGTGATCATGATGTTAATTATGCCAAAATATCCCTCTCTGCTCTCCAACTATGTTTTGGTAACAATTTTGTAACCTGATTTTTATACTTTAAATATCATGAACATTATATGATATTCTGCTGTGTGAATGTTCCATAGTTTATTTAACTAATACTTTCTTGTTGGATATATTATTAGGTGAAATAATACACATTTAAGCCATTTTGAGTTAAGTTTGTTGTTGTCCTTATTTATAACCCAAAGTTATTTGCAATTCTTACTGATTCATAATTTGGTACCACAGTGGAATACTATAGGCAATTGATCCTAAAATGTGGAATTGGTGAAATAAAAGTGTCCTAAACTGAGATGACTCAAATTATTTCAGGTTGAGAAGCTGTTGACTATGTTACCATGAAACTTTTTCTTAAGCTCTCACCTGTGACACCTTAGGATCTTGACTCTATGCCTTCAGAGGTATTACCTTTGGGGGAATGGCAGGAAAAACTAAGGATGTTGGCATGGGTGGCCTAACTCTATTTGTTTTCAGTGAGATCCTGTAAGAAAGGGGGAATCTTAGCTGAAGTGGGCCCATCTGAATGCAGAAAGGGAAGAAAAGGCAGATTTGCTAGAAGTTCTTTCTCCCTGTGGCCTGTAATATAGTCCCATAATTTGGTTTAAATATGCATTATTTCACATACCAAGAATAACGAGGTGGGGCAGCTCCTGTATTTTTTAATTCAATGTTTATATACAGACTGTCTATCATAGTTCTCATTTCAAGATTTGCTTACTTATGTCCTGCACGCATTTTAATTGTGATACTTGCATTTTCATTTGATTTGTAAAAACTCTTTATATATTAAGAACTTCAATCAGTTTTCTATCATATATGTTGAAAATATTTTCCCAGTTTGATATCTGCCTTTTAATACTGTGATTTTTTTTTTCCTTTGGAGTTTTATGTTTAGCTTATTTGCTTAAGAAGTCCATCCCTACTTTAGACTGAATAATTATATCCTCTTATACATTCTTTTAGAATATTTATGGTTTAACTTACTTACAAATACTTAAATTAATTCATCTGAAATTTATTTTGGTATGAGTTGTGAGGTAGGAATGTGTTTTTTCCTAAATGATAGCTAGTTATCCAAAATACCTTATAAGGTACATCCTTCTTCCTCTGAATTGGAATGCCACTGGTGATATATGCATTTTTACTGTGTAAAATTGATTTGGCTTCTCAAGTTCCTAGTCCACTTCACTCCTATGTCAGCTTCTTGTGACCTCGGGTCACACTGTAGCATGATAGTTACTTTTTACCATCAGGTAGAAAATTTTCCTACACATTTCTCTTCTTTTTGAGAAAACTCTTGGCTGATCTGATTTTTTTCTCTCAGATGATCTTTGCACTTGTTTTTGTCAAGTTGCCCCAAAAATTCTATTTGAATTTGGATTGGAATGAAAATAAATTGTTGATATTAATTATGGAGAGAACCATAATTTTTCTAATACTTAGTCATCCCACCCTGAAACATCTTTGTCATCCCAATTACCAAGTTTTTTTTAAGGATCCTCTGGGAAGTTTTATAGTTTTCTTCATATGGAATCACACGTATTTCCAGAGTTTGTGGTGGTTTATTGGTGGTAGTCTTCTATTGTTGTTATTGTCATTATTGTTGCCATTATGAATGAGATTATTCTGTTGTTA